TTACATGTTTTCTCTGAACTCTTACCTGCCATCAGAGTTAAGAGTTTAGTTTTTTTATTGTTAATCATTATTTATTTATTTCTGGGGTGGGGCGGGAGANCCCCCTCTAATTTTATCACCCACGGTATTTTCCACCACTCTCCTTCAAATCCCTCAATTACTGCAAAAATTATCACTATTTACCGTGTGAGACGATGTTGGTGCACTCATTCTCCCCCCTGCAACAGCGACAAAAAGCTCTGTTAAAAGACAATGGGTAACGGCGGAATCTAAAAATAAAAACCTAAACTATCAAAAGATAAATTAATCACCGTCCGACCCCTCGCTGAACAATTTATCTGTCAACTATTTCACACTGTCCCTGTGAAAACCCTCTTCTCCCCTTACACCGCTTTCCTCCTCCAACAAGTAAAATCATCATCACCAACTGATAAATCATATAAACTCTCAAGTCTCGATTCCCAGACATTAATTTCGAGTGCAAAATCCAAGCAAAAAACGCCGGCCTCTTCAAAGTGTCAACTCAAGCATCGAAGCCCAAAGTGCAAAGTACAGCGATTATTTACAAACGAATTCGTCTTCGCCGGCTGAGATTGATGATAAACCCCTCCCGCCCTCTCCTTGCCGCCGCCAATGAAAAACAACCGGCTTCCAGATGAATTATTATAGTTTTTACCACAAAACTGTCAATTACTAATGGAATAAATTCCTCTGTTACTTTTTTCTTCTTGTCTCCTCTTTTCTTCTCTTTTCACTTTCATTTGACTCTTTATCTCATGTTTACACTGTTCTGTTATCGTGTTTTCCTTCTGTAGGTCCTGATGTTGACCGCCGACTTTATTTTTATTCCGTTATTTATCCGAATAAAATTTTATATTCAAGGAATGAATAAATTGAGAAATAATAAATTCTGTGAAAACGAAAACGATTTACGTACCTTTTTGACAACTCTGTAGTTGTTGATGAAACCTCGATCCTATTGGTTTCAAAATGAATTCTAGTTATTTTATTGATGAATTAATTAATTAGTTGGTGGAAATTTTTAAACTGAATGATATTTGACATTTATTTTCGCATTTTATGTTGTTCTTTTATTCAATGAGTGGTTTAAGCCAGTGAGGAACGATGATTGAGCGTTGGCATCAGTATCAGTTGTAGATATGTAACTATATGATTTATTGTAGTATTTTGCGTCTCGTGAAAGATCCAACAATGACCACCGATGATGACCGACTACTGCGGCGACAATCCGGACTCAGAGGTCCGGTGAAACACGCATTTACTCTTTGCAAGGGGGAGAGAGGGGGAAGAGGGGGAATAGAAGAGACACGAGTCAGTATAATAAGACGATACTGTTCTCGAACTGCTCTCTTTATGCGGACCTTGGTCAATAGCGGTATCAATCAATTGACGCGTTCATGGTCACGAGTTATGGGATTTTCATTTCGTTTTGATGGTAATTCATGAGATTCTATCGACTCTTTTTATAACTTAAATTTGAAAAATGGCTTTTCAAATTTGTAGATATCCAAATAATTTCACTGAAATGATTCTCAAAGTTATTGATCATTTATTCATGGAATTGATAATGGGGTATCAGGGAATCATAATCTTGCAAATTGAAATTTAGTTCTTTACCGTTGGATAGCCAAATAAATTTTCGAACAATTATTCTGGCTGATGATGCATTCGGCACCAGAATATTGTGAGATATTAAAAAAAAATCAAAGAATAAAGTGATCAAATAAATACCTAGAATAAATTCTCTCTGACAGTCCTATAGTAAATTAACCCAGTGAGCTACAGTGTATTATTTCGTTTATTGGAAATGCGATAATTTAAATAACCCAACCGGTAAATAAGTGAAAAGAAACTTTGTTACTTTGACTTTATTTAATACGCTCGGAAGACATCCGCTCTTTACCAATTCCTCGAAAGAACGAACTCAATGATAAAGGGATACTATGCCTTCCCTAGCGGACTGACTTCAGAGTTGAACTCTTGAATATTTCCATGATTTCAGAGAAAGTTCAGAGTTCGGTCAGAGTTGGGGTTATGTCGGAGTCTACGTCGGATTCTAGGGGTATCTCTGAACTCTTAATAGTCTTCAGAGTTAAGAGTCCAGTATTTTTATTGTTGATCATTATTTATTTATTGCTGGGGAGGGGAGGGGAGGTTTACATGTGTTCTCTGAACTCTTACCTGCCGTCAGAGTTAAGAGTTCAGTTTTTTTATGTTTAATCATTATTTTTTTATTTCTGGGGTGGGGCGGGGGGGTTGGCATGTGTTCTCTGAATTCTTACCTGCCGTCAGAGTTAAGAGTTCAGTTTTTTTATGTTTAATCATTATTTTTTTATTTCTGGGGTGGGGCGGGGGGGTTGGCATGTGTTCTCTGAATTCTTACCTGCCGTCAGAGTTAAGAGTTCAGTTTTTTTATGTTTAATCATTATTTTTTTATTTCTGGGGTGGGGCGGGGGGGTTGGCATGTGTTCTCTGAATTCTTACCTGCCGCCAGAGTTAA